CAGGCCAGTGGGGGGGGGCAGTTAGGGGTGATAAGGCTGCAGGCAGTGGCAGTTAGAAGTGATCAGGCTGGCAGGAGGGGGCAGTTAGGGGTGATCAAGCAGGCAGGCAGATGAGCAGTTAGTAGCCAGCGGTCCCGGATTGTGAGAGGGATGTCCCAGATTGCAGAGGGTGCAGGCTGGGCTGATCCCCCCCCTACCCCCAGCGTGAATTTTGTGCGCTGGGCCTCTAGTAGAACATAAATGTGTAAAAGTACACATACACACACCTTTCTTGAACCTAAAACCCAAATTCACTCATGGACATATCATGTGCATGACACACACAAACTAATTTTGAGTCAAAAATTGAATGGAGCCTGGCCAGTGTGGCTCAGTTGCTTGGTCATTGTCCCATGCACTGAGAGGTTGCTGGTTGGATTCCAGTCAAAGTATTTCCAATCAGGGCACATGCCCAGGTTCCCGGCTCAATCACAAGAGGGTACACACAGGAGACAGCTAATCCATGGTGAGTTCTCACATCAATGATTCTCTCTTCTCTCTCCTTCTCAAAATCAATAAAACTATTCATTTTTAAAAAATAAAAAATTAAAATTTGAAAGGAAGTCACGATTTATACCCACTCTCTCTACACCCAATCATTCCACTTTACCTTTGTAAGATAACTAGAGGCCCAGTGCACGAAATTCATGCACGGTATGGTCCCTAGGCCTGGCTTGTGATCAGGGCCATCTTCCCTGGCTGCTGGCAGCTGGCCCTGCCCCCCGCCGCCACCCACCCAAGTTTCCCCATTCCCCATCCAGCAATTGGAGCCTGCGGGGGATGGGGGGTGGAGTTATGGGGAAGGGACCCAGAGTTTGGCTGACAGGGACTGCGGGCAGTTCCTGCATTGAGCGTCTGTCCCCTGGTGATCAGTACGCATCATAGTGACTGGTTGTTCAGCCACCTGGTCGATTTGCATATTACGCTTTTATATATATACTAGAGGCCCAGTGCACAAAAATTTGTGCACTCGGGG